TTCTTTACCGGCGATACTGATCGTAATCCAACCTTCTTGAGAGCAATACTGCCAGCAAGAGGCTGCCGACGGTCAGGATTGCCCATCTCCAGGCAACGCGAATTTTCCACCAAATGGGAAATTCAACGAAACACGAAGGGTTTCTCTCACAAGAAAAATTGCAAATCGCAGCAATCACTTTTCTTTCCTCATATTCATATCTTATATGAACTGAATTATATATATATATATATATCATTTTCTACTAATCTTGCTCTTTCCACTAGCTCTAAAATTTCTTTGATCCTCAAAGGTAGTAATTTTTTCCTTAATTCAACTCTAAGTCCCCTCAATAAATGACAACACTTCTTTTATCTAGTGCTAATTAGTTGAGGAGCATAAATGATGAATGCTATGAATTTTTCTTCATACCACATAACTATTTTTGATTTATACTGAAAAAATTATCTTGATCGGGCATGAATCTCGAGGCAAAATTGAGCAAAAAACCTAAAAAATTAACTTCAAGATCAATTGAATTCCAATTTTAGCAAACTTATAGTCAATCTGACTGTCTCAGAAATACAAACTGAACGACACCAAATTCAACTCAATGTAAGCCCAAATGAGTCCAATCAAGCCCCTGAAGTGCTATTAGAAAGTTCAAACCATAATTTGAGTTACCAAATGGTTTCTAAATTTGGCGTTCATATAGTCGAATCAAGCGGCTCAACGAGAAAAATTCAACAAGCCTAAGATCGCCGAATTCTAATATCATTAAGACCTTCAAATGTTTGACGACGGGTGCATGATCAAAGGTCTCAATATCGTCCGTCCATCCAACCACGCCCTATTTACCACTCATTAAGACTTTTATCGCCCACCAACTACTAGCCTTCTAACTTACGTCTCCCACCGACTACAGTCATTCAAACTTTTGTCTCCCACCTACTACAGTCCTCCTGACCTACGTCGCCCATCGACTACAGTCCTTTTTACTTTCGTTGCCTACCGACTACAATTCTCCTGACTTACATCGCCCCTCGTCAACAGTCCTTCATACCTCCATCGCCAGACAATAGTCTTTATGACCTACGTCGCCCGTCGACTATAGTTCTTCTGACCTCCGTAAGTAGATTATGGTCCTTCTAACCAAACGAACACATCAACAATGATTCTTTGTATTATCACCAAGTAATATACTCTATAAGATGTACATCAAGCTAAGCCCTTCCCCCAAGGAAGGGCCTCATTTGTAATCTACTACGATACTAGTGGATTCATTCAAACTGGGCTAAGCCCATGGTTTTTCCCCCTTTTCAAGGGTTTTCCACGTAAAAATCTTGGTTTCTTATAAATGCTAGACCCTCTCTCTTACTGATTGCATGTCAGATTTTTGTACAATGCTAAGACGTTAAATATTATATTTCTCTACCACCGCGAATACTGCAGGATGTAACAATTTTATTTATCTTGTCTAATCTCATGAATTGCCTCATGTATTTATTATCAAGCTTACAGAGGTAAACTAATATCCCTAAAAATGCCTAAAAATTCATCTCATGTGATATAAGAGTTTAGCTCACCTTGAAATCACTCATTATTATCCAATCCAACACCTTTTAACTTGCCCCTCAAATAAAATGTTGCCAATGGTACCTTTTTGTTCATTGAACAATACAAAGTATCATTGATCTTTTTGATCTTCAGTACCCAATTTTCTACTTCTAATAGCATTACATCTCCCTTGAATAGTGGATGCTTCAACTTGCGAAACAGTTATAGATGTTTGTCTTCTTCAATTTATTTTCTTACAGATTATTTTCTTTATGCGTCATTCATTAGTTTTTTCATCAAACTAGAAACTTACATAATACTCCCTTAGTATGTCTAGTTTTACCTCTAATTTGATAATTTAATTGGGCAAAACCTATCTAATTTTCAAAACCTAATCAATGACACATTAGTACAATAGAAAACTAATTTCAATGTGATACATAGAACATATATGCTTGGATTTATGAAAGCATGATTTATTTTGACATTAGATTTTATAGAATCAAAAGTCTTACTATGAAATAAATATAACAACAATAATAGCAAGCCTTTATCACACTACGTGAAGCCAGCTGCATGAATCTTTTTCAATATGTTATGTCTTATTAATAGTCAAATTATCTTTTAAATCTAATAAAAATGTATGTATTAATACTTTCTAACCAAGTCTATTTAGGTCTACCTCTACCTTTCTTATAATATGCAAATCTAATACATCTGCTCTAGCAATAAAATAAATAATAAAATTAAAATGATTATGTATGACAAGTAAGACTTAAAATAAATAAAATAAATGGCACTTATGGCTAAATAAAAATAAAATAAAATATTGCATTACCTAAAAGCATTCATGTGCTTCATTTATAAGTTGCTTAGCTTCAGTACATAAGTTGTAAGCCCTAATTCTTAAATAAATAATAACTTACTTTATATTGTATTGAAAATAGACAAAACATTTATGTATTGAAGAGAATATGTCAATTTAGATAATAGTCCTCTCCAAGGACAATTGTAATTTCAATAGAGTTGAGCTTTCTTAAACCGTTATTGGGATGAAAGTTGTATGTCCTATTACTCTTTATTAAATATAGGTTTGAATTACAACTTAGTATTGCTCACCTTTATTTTCTTATCAAAGGCTAATTTATTATATCATAAACCTTCAACTTCTTTGTATTTTATCAAGCCTATGTTGACTAAATATAAGTGCTAGAATTTATAATCAAATAAGAAACTTAAGCACTAATATCAAATTTCAAAAACATTAAATCCGAACATAAGATAGTTTGGAATACGTATGGGCTTCTAGTGCTCTACTTTTTATCCATTATCTTTTGAAAAGAATTATTTCAAATTTGATCTAATCCCTTTAGAAATTCTAAAAAAAAAACTTCTTGGTCTAAACATTAAAATTATTAAAATATTAATAAAAAATTAATCAAAAGCTTTCTCTAGAGGTTACTTCTCATGAGATGTAATTAACTATATGGGCTTGGCTACATTGTGAACATATATCCCTTAAAGAATAAACCCCATAATCCTTAGGAATATAGATTTTTTTAATTCTAATTTTATTTTTGAAATTTTTATGGAATATAATTTTAGTCCTTTGTGATGATATATAATTTTTTATATAAAATTTAATTATAAAATGTTTTTTTGAATTTATTATATGTTTTCCTTATCTTCTCCCATTACCTGAGAAACTCATGTTCTCCCTGCTTCATCATTCAAACTTCTAAAACTCTCATCTTATATCCTTTCATACCCAAATTAATATTGTTGGATAATAGATTTTTTTTTTTGTTTATCATTAGATATTAGGGTTGAATAACAATCATTTAAATTAATGATATTGTCATTTTGCAACTAATGTTTTTGTAGTTCAAGAAAAGCTTCACGTAAATTTTAGTCTTAGTATTTTTAAAAAGAAGCTCATCAAAATAAAAAATTTAAAACATCTCCATAATTTTTTAATCAATTTAAAACGTTTGAAAAAAGGAATTTTTTTTCCATATATCATGCTATATATAGACTTTACTTTTAATTCACATTTTAAACTACAATAACTAAAACAGAATTTTTATTAATGAAGATTGTTAAGATAATGTTATGAAATAAGATAGAACACTATTTTCTATAAGTCCATTTATACCATATGTTGGAAAGAATATAGATTGAAGTTTTCAAATAGAATTGGTGATGTTTTATTTGGATGCAATAATGAAGTATCGGGAATAATATGAAATGCCTAATAACAAGGAAAAAGAGCTTTTTATTGTGCTTTGAATATTATTCTAATTCAAATTATTATCAATTTAGTTTTTTTAATTTATGTACATTTTGAAGTTAAACTTCTAAATTCAATTTTGTTACATGATAACAAATTTATAGCAATAAAAGAGAGTTTTACATCACAGCTCTGCATGAAGATTAACAACACACAAATAATATAAAAAAATGCAAGGGATGCAAGAGTTTTTATTTGAAAACCTTGAGAAGGGAAATTTTGTAAGGTCTGTCATAATTAATAAAATCCATTATATAAAAGAAACTATAAAAATACGTTCTTCTTCATAATTGTATAAGGTGGGATTATAAAATTGAAACAATTTACTTGGTCTCCTATAATTGCAATAAACATTAAGAGAAAGAACGTGGATAAATAATTATGGTAATTATAAAGTCTAGGTGGGGGCAATGGTGGTCGAATGATGATGTTGAGATGACAATAAACAAGTGGTTTTGATTAAGGGATATTAATCAAATGGTAGGAATTGAATAATGTGAATGAACTAGGATGATTAGATGATAGTACTTAGATAGTAATGGTTATGATATGATAGTCAAATGACACATAATTGTGTAATGGTAGTCCAATAATTGTAGTAGGATAATAGTGATGTTAGGTGATATTCATTGGCAACAAACATTTGGAAAAGCTGTAGAGTTCTTCTAATATAAAATATCTCCTTAAACTCAATATATTGTCCCCCTTCATGTGAATAATGTGCGACAATTTATAGTATTTTGGGACTACCATTTTAGTAAATTTAGCAAAAATCTTATAAAACTCCATCAAATTACCCAAATGGAATCCTATGAGCATATCTTAGTATTCAGCAGGTAGATAGCTTAGTTACTTTAAAATTGAAGAATCTTGTGCTACTTGTATTCAATTCATCAAAATAAATTATATGACTATAAGATAGCAAGATTCATAGATCATTTGATCATTCAATTAATGTCTAAAAAACTTTAAATATGGTTCAATTGATTGATTTGGGTTCATTTAAACTCAAATTGACAAATTTTTTTGTTAATGAGCTCATCTAATTGAGATATCTAGTTTGAATATAAGTTTTCTTTGGTTTGAATATAAATAATCATGAATTTAATTTTAAGTATTTCTAATCTAAATACTACATCAAATTCGTGCTTAATAATATAATATTTTTGTTAACATGTCTTTTATCCCCAAGGTATTTTATGTTGAACCCTATGTCATATGAAAATACATTCGAGACTTCCAAGAAATTCATGATGTAATATTATAATTTTAAAAAAGTTATAATATGTGATCCCTTTTCAGATGTTAATGATGATTTCTACTAGGAGGCTAGTATCCTCTAACTATAGTTTTTACCTTCCCTAAAACCAACACTCCAATTAGAGAAATTTTTTAAATTTGTCCAAATTTACTTGAATTTGATCATAGAGATTATTCTAGGTTTAAAAAGTACAAAATTTAGAATCTCTCTTGCAATTCTATTATCATATGCTCTTAAGATGAGATTACTTATGATGTTATATTCCACTTTTTCACCATTTTAATGGGATGATTAACTCAAGAAATCATTGCTCGAGCAAGATTATTATTAGTCAGACCCTTAAAGAGGATGGATATATTCCTATTATTCATACACTTATTGAGGGTGGCTACATTTGACCTATTTTAAATTTCATTATAGAAGATATAAAAGTGACTCTTTTTAATATTGGTAATGAAAGGGTCCTTGGACCTAGTAGTTTCTTATCAAAGTTCTTCAAGAACACTTAGCATATCATTAGTCCTTCTTTTATTAAGGATGCTAAATATTTCTTTCTCTCCTTTGAGCTTCCTACCCATGTGAAGCACTCAGCTACTCCTTTGATCCCCAAACATCTTCATAATATATGTTTGCATGATTATCAATCAATCTCATTTTGAATACTATGTAATAGGTTATTGCAAAACTCATTATGAATAAGTTCAAGCCCTTACTTCAAAAGTTTATTCCCTCTTTTTAGTTTACTTTCATTTTTAATATAGATATTGTTGATAAAAACTCATTATGAATAAGTTCAAGCCGTTCAAAAGTTTATTCCCTTTGTTTAGTTTACTTTCATTTCTAATATAGATATTGTTGATAACATCATATTTGCTACTGAAATTCTTCAGGTGTTCATATATATAAGTAATTCTAGAAACTTTTTCTCAATGATTAACCTTAATAAAGTGTTTAGCAATGTGAACCATCAATTTCTTTAATGTATAGACTGAGATAATTAGGTTTTCATGAAAATTTATTAATTATATTATTACTTGCACATCAAATGTTCATTTATCTATGGTGATTAATGAGAAGCTTAAAGGTTCGTTTAACCCCACAAATGGATTTCAATAAGGATGCCCCTTATCCCTTTTTATTTTCAACTTTATTATGTATGATTTCTTTGGATCTATTGGCACTCTTTTCCATAGTTCAACCTTAAAATGAACTAACGATTAGAACTCTCTTATCTCATTTATGTAGATGATTTCTTGGTCTTTTGTAAAGCTAACCTTACCACCATTAATTGTTTTAATCTTATTTTGAACATCTTTAGGAGTTCTACTAGTCTTCAAGCTAATCTACATATATCTACTATCTAATCTACATATATCTACTATTTTTTTCTCCAAAGATGTTGATATGATCTTTCAATATCAAGATTGTAGCTTTTTGGGCTTTGGCTATTGCACTCTAGCTTATGTGGTTCAATCAAACAGTCTTTGTCACTATGTATCGTATGATCGTCATAAGCTCGGATGAGCTGTGTCACCTTCATTTTTATTGGCTAGAATGATTCGTCATGATGTATAATATAATTTTAAGACCTTTATTTATTTGAGCCTCATTTTCTTATTTTAGCTCAGCTTGAGAACTTCTAGTCGCTTTTTTTTAATTTCATTTTCTTTTAGGTTTTGATTCTACTTAATTATTTTTTTACTAATATTACAATACTCTAGTAATTTCTATGAATTAATAAACTTTGTTGCGAGTAGAACTTATCCTCTGAGAAGAGGAACAATATTAATTATCTCACTCAATCTGTTTTTAAATTGCGCAGGTGGCCGATAACTCATGGCGACAGAAGCTTCGATGGGTTCCGACCAAGGTGAACCTTGATGAACACATTGTCCTCGCCGATCCTGGTCCTAAATCCGCTGAGGCTGCCCGCGACCCTAATGTCGGTGATTTATATGTCGAAAACTACACCGCTGGTCTCTGTAGCTCCCAACTCGACTACTCTCGGCCGCCTTGGGAAGTTCATATCCTTCCCATACGAACGTCGGAGGCCGCTTGTGTCGCCGTCTTCCACCTCAATCACTCCATGGGTGATGGGACCTCCCTCATGTCGCTCTTACATGCCTGCACTCACCGCACCTCTGACCCTGAGTCCCTTCCATCCCTTCCTAAAACACGGCGGCACCCCACCCCTGTAGCTGCCAACTTTGGCCCATTCATTTTCCTATGCTGGATCTGGAATTTTCTTATATACTTGTGGAATACCCTTATTGAAGTTATCCTCCTTGTCTCCACCCCCATCTATTTGAAGGACACCAAAATACTGAATATGGGGAAAGAGGGCATTGAATATCGGCCTAGGCGGATTGTCCACCGCACTCTTTGTCTTGATGACATTATAACCATAAAGAACACCATTGGTTGCGTAATGTCTTTTAACTCACGTCTCTATGAGTAAACCTTTAAGCTTTCTTCAGTGCATGCTAACGGTTTGATTAAATTCCCTATAGACAATAAACGATGTTTTGGTTGGAGCCACTTCTGCCGCTCTGTCTCGTTACCTTAGCAGGAAGTACGGTGGCCTTCTACCCAAACAATTGTTGATCAGAGCTGCTCTGGTCGTCAATATTCTGCGAATATCAGGAATTAATGTGAGGGGAGCACTAATTATTTTGTTTTTTTATTAATTGTTTTATAGAGATAGTTATTATTGTTATTCTGTATATTATGGAGAATTGCGAGCAGGATTTATCATATATGATGAAGGAAGGCAGTGAAGCGAAGTGGGGTAATAGGATTGGCCATTTTTTGCTTCGGTTACCTGTATTGAAGTGCGAGGATCCATTGGACTATGCAAGGAATGTTGCAGCAATCACATAAAAGAAAAAGAAATCATGGGCAGCGATACTTCCTTATAAATCTTTTGTGTTGATTTCCAAGTGTCTGGGCACTAAGGTACGCTGGATATTATTCATCTTTACTGAGGCACACCATTTTTTTCTGAAATTTTGGCTCAATATGTAACACATATAATCTTAAATTACACAAAATTTTTAAATATTTTGCCAGATTTTTTTTTCTTTTCTAAAAGACGGCACTCTCGATTCTTATAAACAATTATTTTTTATAAGACAAGATAGTCTTGTATTATATTGAAATATGTGTATGCTTTAACTTGGTAAAATAATTTCCTATGGATTGTGCTCAAATCAAACAATCAATGCAATATTTAATCCAAGCCAAATTCAACATTTATATGCCTTTCATATTCGCCTATTTAGTTTGCTGCAAATGAAACACAAATTAACCAAGCCCTCCCAAAGCAAAACGACCCTTACCCGGCCTATTTATTTTAGAAAAAAATTTGAAAAATAAACTAAGAATAAAAGTTCTTTAATCCAAATCTAAATAAATTACTTTTCATATAGATATTTTATTTTACATCATTTTTTATTAAATAAAATAATTGATTAATAAAAAATAGGTTATGACAGTCTACATAAATATTATTTAAATTTAGAAACTTTGCCTTGTTAACTCTATGATTCAAATTTTGAAATATATAAATTAGATTATTTCATAACTATCTTCTGTATTCACAACAGGTTACGGCCGTACTTTATATATATATATATATATATTAGCTTCTTCATAACAAACTTTTTCATGTCCACCCTATTAAATCTAATTGGTGAAATTACTTGTTAGATGGCTTTGTATTAGTTCATGTGAGGTCTACATGATAAAATGATAATCTATTGGTTTCTTTGAGGTTGCCAGAAAACCATTTTATGGTGGAGTGCATGAAATATTAATTTTGCTTATTGTTATCACTTGTTATTGAATAGTGTTAGATGATTCTCTTTTAAGGATGAGTCAACTCTCTAGCTTTAACAATTTAATGATCTAGGCATAGTCATGGGCAAAGAGAAATGCTTAGTGTATTGTAGTCTAAACATTATTAATCTTTGGACTTTGAGATGGAGTTGTTCACTCAATCAGATGGTAATGATGAACTTTGGAATGAGGAGAAATTTTTTGTCCCACATCAGCTCTCCTCATAGTCTAAAGATTTTCGTTCGAGTTGATCTAAAATTGAATATATGTAGTGTAATATTAGTAGTAATAGATCTAGTGAGGGGATTGTGACTTTGGGCGATCAAGTCATTAGCAAAAGTTCACGTTTTAGATATATTGCGTCTATTGATCAAACTGATGGTGAAATAGATGAGAATATTATTAGTAGAATTCAAGTTGGATGATTGAAGTTGAGTAATGCATTGAGCTTGTCGTGTGATAGAAAAGTCTCCCTCAAATTGAAGAGAAATTTCTATAAGATGGTAGTGAGATCTGCAATTCTTTATGGTGCAGAATGATGACTATTAAAAGAGAAACATAATATTAAGTTAAATGTTGTAGAGATGAAGATGCTCAAGTTGATGGATGGCTTTAATCTTAGAGACAAAATACAAAATGAGCATATACATGGAAAGGTTAGAGTAGCTCTAGTGGAAGATAAGATTAGAGAGAGTTGCCTTAGATGGTTTGGTCACATAAAATGGAGGCCTTTCGATGCATTAATTAGGGGAGTAGATGCATTAGATTTGGCTTATGTTAAGAAAGGTAGAGCTAGACCTAAAAAGACTTGGTCAGAAAATATTAGAAATAACAGTTCTTTATTAGATTTAAATGAGAATTTGACACTTAAAAGGACACAATGGAGAAAAAAGGATTCATGCAGTTGACCTCATATAGTGGGATAAAGGCTTGATGTTATTGTTGTTGATGTTTTAGCTTGCCTTACTTTGAAACTCATTTGAGCTTAAAAAATAAGATGTGAAAATAGACAAATTGTCATCGAGCTCTTCATCATCTTATTGTGTAGCACATATTTTCTCTTTTATTATGAATTATAATAAAAATGTGTTGATAACAAAATTCTTCAAATAAGTAATAAGGGGGAATCAAAGGACACCTTAGTGGAATGGTAAGCTTGCATTCAGCTTTAACCTTCTATTGTACCTTTGTTCACTATCGAGGTCCATATTAGGTAAGTTGTCTCATCCCATAACTTTAGTCTTTTGAACAATAAAGTTAAGGTTCTCTGTGATTTCTTATGTTCTTTTTAGATGATTCCTTTTGTTAAAATCGTAGTTGAAGGCCTTCTCATTAATAGATGAAGCCTAAAACCCAAAATTTGCTACTTAATGACATCGAAATGGATTAAATTGGTGTCAAACGATTTACAGAGATAGAGAAAGATCAATTCAAAACACAAACAGATAGATTATTGAAAAGAAAACAAAAGGAACTTAGCTTTATTGCGGCAGATTCACTCCCTGGTTTGCCACTCCAGGTTACAGCCCTCCATCCAAGGGAAAATGAAGAATTTCTGCTTACAAATTCTCTACCCTCCCCCCAAGATATGGACTCTATATATAGACATTATTAAGATAACTAACACTAGACCCAAAAGCAAGAAAGCCTGAACCGAACCAAACCATCAGCAGGGAATAGAACCGGAAGCCTGTTAATGGCCGGTCTGGGTACTTTATGAATACATGATTTATTTTCTGTTTAGATAACAGCAGCTCCTGCGTCATTCCCCTGGTCTTGAGAAGATGAAACTTTATTTTGGAGGGGAGGAGTAGTTCCCACGGGTTCTTCTTGTATGTTGCTGGCTTGTTGTGGTTGATCTACGTCTTTCTCTTGATTGGAGAGTTCAATTGGGTCGTAAAGATGTCCTAAATCTGAAACATTAAAAATAGGAGAAATTTGTAAATTGTCGGGTAACTCAATTTGAAAAGCGTTATCATTAATGCGTTTAAGGATACGGAAAGGTCCCTTTGCTTTAGGTTGAAGCTTGTTGTATCATCTATAGGGAAACCTCTCTTTGCTTAGCCTAATCCAAACGAGATCTCCTTCCTTAAAATGTTTGCTCTGCCTTGATTTATTTGCTTGCTTTTGATATTTGGTATTTTGTTTTTGAATATACTGTTGGATATGTTTGTGAAGTTGTTGGATTTCCTTGACGCATGTAGCAGCATCCAAACTGTGAGTTGTAGAAGAAAGAAGTGGTGTTGATTCAAGGGGTCCCATAGGGTTTTGTCCATATACAATTTCAAATGGACTTTGCCCCGTAGTTTGATTTCGAGACTTATTATAAGCGAATTCCACTTGTCCCAAAATCTCATCCCATGATCGAATGCTTTTCCCCACAAAACACCGTAAGAGGTTTCTGTTAACGGATTCAGTTTGGCCATCCGTTTGCGGGTGAGCTGTGGAACTGAATTCTATCTTGGTGCCTAATTTTGACCACAAAATTCTCCAAAAGTGGCTAAGGAATTTAACATCTCTATCATAAGTGATTGTTTTTGGTATGCCATGTAATCGTACCACTTCATGGAAGTAAAGTCTAGCAATATGGGAGGGGTCTGAAGTTTTGTGACATGGTATAAAATGTGCCATTTTTGAAATGCGGTCGACCACTACCATAATGGAATCCTTTTTTTGTTGAGTAACAGGAAGTCCCATAATGAAATCCATGCTAACTTCTATCCAAGGTGACTCGGGTACAGGTAGAGGTAGGTATAGACCGATATTGGGTTTTGTAGTCTTAGCCATTTTGCAAATGTGGCATCTCTTAATATGTCGGGTTACATCCTTTTCAAGTGATAGCCAATAGAAATTTTCTTGAATCATGGCAAGAGTTTTGTCTCTCCCAAAATGCCATGCCAAACCGCCATTATGGTTTTCAAAAATTATGGCTTCACGTAAAGATCCTTGTGGTATACATAGTTTATTACCCTTAAACAGACACTCTTGTTTTATGTGAAAATTTTTGTATGGTTTAAACAAGCATTGTTTCCAAATTTTTGAAAAATTAGGATCCTTTGCATATAGGTATTTAATAATTTCAAAACCAACGATATTTATCTGTATGGTGTTGTATAACATGTATCGTCGGCTCAGGGCATCTGCCACTTTATTAGTGGTTCCCGATTTATATTTTAAAGAATAATGAAAATATGATAAATACTCAACCCGCTTGGCATGTCTGGCGTTAAGTTTGCTTTGGTACTTAAGGTGCTTAAGGGACTGATGATATGTAAAAAGAATAAATATTTGACCAAGTAAGTAGTGGCTCCAATATTGTAGTGCTCTAACAATGGCGTAGAATACTTTGTCATATGTAGAGTACTTTTGGCTGGATTCATTTAGTTTTTCGCTAAAATAGGCCACTGGATGTCCTTCCTGGCTTAAAAAACTCCAATTCCATTGTGCGATGCATCACATTCAACTTCGAAGACTTTTGAAAAGTTTGGAAGTGTGAGGACAAGGGTCGTCTGCATAAGATCTTTGAGTTGATTGAAACTTTCTTGCGCTTCTTTGGTCCATTCAAATTTGGGTTTTTTTGCGGATTTCGGTAAGAGGAGCGACAACTGTGCTAAAGTTCTGAATAAATTGTCTGTAGAAAGATGCCAAGCCGTGGAACCGTCGAACGTCATTTATGGAAGTTGGAGTTTGCCACTCGTGAATGGTTTTAACTCTTAACGTTGTCAAAATCCATTTCAAGCCCTACTGGAGAGATGAAAAAACCTAAAAACTTGATAGTGTCCACTAGGAATTAACATTTGGCAATGTTAGCGAATAGACGTTGCTCCAATAGTATTTTAAAAACTTGTTTTAGATGCTGTAAATCTTCTACCTTATTTTGGCTATAAATCGAAATGTCATCAAGGTAAATAACAAGGAATATATTTAAGTAGGAATGAAAAACCTGTTTCATGAGACGCATGAAGGTACTCGGCGTGTTGGATAATTTGAAGGGCATAACTTTCCACTCATATAAGACATCCCTT